TTCCCTGTTTTGTGGGATCGATGCACAGAAGAACTCGAATAATACAGAGGGAACGACGACAAGGGAGGATCGTAGAAGTAAGTTGTCCAGTGAAATTTGTAAGAAATTCTGTCAGTCTACTGATAACAGTATTGGAGATGTTGGTGGTCGACTCGTGTCATCTACATCAGGTGTTTTTTACTATCATTATGTTGATCCGCAATCGTGCCAACTGGTCAGTGTTATCTTAATAAAGAGCTGTTTGATTTAAGAGAAATACTTTACTCTAGATACTCGAAAGCGGAAAGCACATGTACTAGAGACTGATGATGAAGCTATCCCTAATTCCATTGGTACGTCGCCTGGACACAAAACTATGTACTCCACACCAGCTCAGGATCAATTGAAGAATGACATCTCTCTACTCGAAACTCAACTTGATTTACTTGTTCGTCGTAGGGATTCCATGAACGCCGAGGGCACTGAACATGGTCAGATTTTCAAAATCTAAAATCTGACTTATTTTGAAGGCAAAAGGAAAGAACTCCACAAAAAATGTCAACACAGTCTCAGTTCCAAAAAACACAAACAAACTCAGAAATCGAAACTCACGGCAGTCTGCAACGAGAACCCTGAAGTAGCTAAAGTCCTCAATCTACGTACAGAACCAGGTCGCCCAAGTTTGGAAGAGACTCAACTTGAGTTATTAAAGCCTATCGTGGAATTAGCTATATTTGGAGCTTCTGCAGAGGAGCGCCGCCGGTGTGTGATAGTGCGTAGCTGTCGAACACTCACAGATCTCCACTCAAGATTAGAAGAGCTAGGGTTCAAGATTTCCAGAAGTGGGACTTACATACGCCTTTTATCTAGGCGGTATAATACTCTTGAGGGAAAGCGTCACGTGGTGACAGTTCCAGTGAAATTGAGTCGTCCTGAAGCTGACCACTATAAAGCACACCCCGATCAGTACTTCTGCACTTCTACCATACGAACTCTGGAGACCGTGGCGTCTATTCTCGGGCCAGGGTAAGTTTGCTTCATTTCTCAAGACGATAAGGCAAGGTGTCCGATAGGTCTGACGGCGGCTAATAAACAAGCTCTTCCCTTGATGCACGTCGAGTACCGCGTGTCTCTACCTGATCATGACTGGGTAGTTTCCGCCAAACATAAGTTGATTCCCAGTGTCTACGCTGCATGCGCCATCAAAGGTGATACCATGGGTCGGCCCGAAGCAGTGACATATTCAGGACCTACCTATATTGCTATCCGAAGTGGCAAACACTCCTCTTCCACGGCCTCATCTCACGCTGTTGATTTAGAAAAGTTGACTACTTTCGTGAATTTTCAAGAGATCATCCGTGGCCAAAAAGTAAATGTTAAGCCAATTGTTATGATTTCTTCTGATGGAGGCCCTGACGAAAATCCTCGGTATCCAAAAGTTTTGGCGAATGCTATCCATCACTTCAATCAACACGATTTGGACGGACTGTTTATGTTCACTAGTGCACCTGGAAGAAGTGCTCTCAATAGAGTCGAAAGGAGGATGGCTCCACTCAGTGGAGAATTATCTGGAGTAATTTCACCATATGTATACAGTCAAGGGAAAACCATCGACACTGATCTAGAGAAGAACTTTGTAAAAGCTGGTGAAGTTCTAGCTGAGATATGGAACAACGTCGTGATTGATGGGCAAGATGTACTTGCAGAGTTCGTAGGGTCGAGTTCAAATGAGCGTAAAGTACCATCGATGCCCGCACAGGAGTGGTGCAGTAAACACGTTCGACAACGCCAATATTTACTCCAGGTTATTGGAAATGAGAGATTTTTGTTTCTGGTAGTTAATTGTTTATGTATCAACAATTCGTTGTATCACTGTATCTGCTAATTCTGTTCTCTAACAGGTTGTGAAGTGCGATGACAAAAACTGCTGTAAAGAACTTCGAAGCTCACTACGCGTAGTACTCCCAGACAGATTTTTACCAATTCCCAGTCCAATTATTCAGGGGCCTCCTAACGGACTAAATGTCCCAAAACCAGCTGAACATGACGGAAAGAGCTTTGCTCCGTTCTTATTGAGACAATCTTTAGGTTTAACCCCTTCACAATCTCAGTGTCGTGAGTTACCATATGATATGTATTGCCCTAGCTTGAAGGAAAATCCTGAATTGATTGCTAATAGGACATGCAAACAATGTGGATTGTATTTTTGTTCCAAGAAAGCTGTTGCTATCCATAAATCTGCTCTACATAAGAAAACTAAGGGAACGAACAATGAACAGATGGGACCAGAAGAGATTGAAAATGTTGAGTTGACTGATAAACAAAACGAAGATATGATTCAACTGGACAATAACGGATTGTTGAACCCTGACAGTAGTGTGTTTGTTACTGTTAAACAATGTTTTAACAATCCTTGGATTGATGATGACTCATGAATTCAGAGTCTCTTCTGTACGAAACGTGCTAATATAGAGAAGACTTTTCCCAAAGAGACACGATAGAAAAGGCTATTTCCAAAGAGGAACTATTTGCAGATTGATCGATATCAAATATCGAAACATTATACTATTGAAATTAATATACTTAAGAGATAAAACTATGACTCATACTTTAACGATTTGTTTCTGGAATAAAATTATTTTTCGTTCATTAGACGTGTGTAAAACAGTTGTCTTTTTAACAAAAAAAAATTTTTTTTTTTCAAAAGCTATCATTTGTCATACTGAGCTTTGAAAAAAAACACACGTGATAACATGCCGGGGGAGGGGGAGTCGACGAAATGTCATGATTGATCATCAGGGGAGGAGGGTGTCAGAAATGAGCCAAAATTGGATCACGTGATTTATGGACGCCCCCAAATCTGAAAAAATTCACAAAATTTCGAAAAAATATGACAATTTTTTTCCAGTTCATTGCAACATGGAGAACTTGATGGGTAGCCCATTCGTTGGTGAAACTCCAATATTGTTGGTGGAATTGAATTTAAAAAGAATTTGGATTATACATTTCCGGAGTCGCTTTATTCGAATCCAATGGTAATTTTGGTTTTTCGTGGTTTCGTGATCGTTTGGATTAATTTTCAGCCAAAACAGCCGAAGATAAGAAAAAAAGTTTTGAACAAACAATTGTGACGTTTAGCGTTAGATCGTCTTCTACATTAATCATTTTGACGATCTAACTTTAGTGCAATAACTCCTAAGATATTTCGGGATATTTCTGAATATCCAAGGTTTATTCTCATTCGACTTTTTACGCTGCGAATTTAATGACGTTTGAGGACTATATTAGGCTGCAGCATTTCAGTCAATCGGTTCGGTGGAGTCCGGTGATTAATCTAGATTTTTTTGCTCATCTTTGTCCTCTGGGGAATTGGAAAGGGAGGGGGGTTTGTATGGAATGAAGGTGAACTGCACCCACTTCATCCCACTTGTGAGAGTTTCTTATTCGTGACTTCCGGTTTGTGGATATTCGAATACTTTCATGATTCTTTAGTGGGGAAATCCTTTTCAAAAACTGGAGGTGAATCCTCTATATAGAGATCTTTAATGAATCTTACGCTACGCTATTAAAAATTTTTGTTTCGTCTGAATTTTCCGGAAATCTCGTTATTGAATAATCAAATTATTCCAATGATTTTCTGAAATACTTAATTCTTTCGTTCAATTATTCTGTGAAAATTCAGGAAAAATTTGATAATTCATGTCATTTTGTTTCTGAATATTCATGTTCCACTGAAAATTCATGAATTTTCGTGAATTCCACTTAAAACTTGAAATTTCATAACCTTTTTTTCCCTACATCCGATTCAATGTCACTCTCATGAGATTTACTATAATATTTTCCATGAAATTTCAAAAAAATTCTAATAGTGTATATAATTTTAGATGTCCGTTTCTCCGGAAATTCAGCATCTGAAAAGTTAACACAGAAAAACCCAAATATAAATTGCGTTTTGCTTAGTGTAATTTACGGGTTGCTAAAGGTAATTTATGATTTACTTATGCCTAATGTACAAAAAACATCGTCTTTTATGATTGAAATAACTTTTTTGTTCTTTTTCGTTAATTACGGATGAGTAAACGTAAAAAACGGAATAAATCATTGTAATTTACGAATACGAAACCATAAATTACGTTTAGGTAAGCGTAATTTACAGGGATTTTGAGCGTAATTTACAAATTCTAAATCGTAAATTACGTTCATGTAATCATAATTTAGGGTGATATTGAGTTCCCAGCCCAGGTAGAAATTTTGACTTGCATTTGGCTAGCTGCTAGGTTGCTCTGTTAGTCACAATCCAGCAGCTAGGTAGCCGCGTTAGCCATCCACTACACGAATCTGTTACGCTGAATAGCGCGGTGGATGGGTTGCGCGACAACCTTTCAGTGCATGGTTTCGTGGGTCTAGATGCGACCTTGCTGTAGTAGACTCCTTACATTGTCGCATAAACTTTCATATTGGTATAGATATATTTGAATTAAGGATGCAAAGTGTACATAGAATTATTAGTTTTATTCAGGTTCAATGTATATACAAAAAAAAAACATTTAAATATTACACTGATAGAAAAAATTACTTAGTATTAACAAGGCTTTGTAACTATTAATTAATGGTAAGCTTGCGTACGAACAAATGAATATTCATTACTTATGAACTCACAATTCGGTTGAGAAGTACAGGGTGGCAGATGGGAAGTTGCCTAAAGTATACCCACATGTCTTCCATTCCTATTGAGACCCGGAAGTTTAGGTCCATTAGATATATACTAGAGTGTTGTCAGGTTCTATTGAGACGCTACAAGAAGCACTACGTGTACTTCAAAATGAGTAACCTTACAAACGAAGAAAAAGTATATCTTATCGAGTGCTTTTATACTACAGGTAAAAACTATACTAAAGCATATAGAGGCTTTCGTACTAAATTTGGAAGTAAAAAAGTAGCCAGTCAAAACACCCTCAGAAGGTGAGAATAAAAAAAAATTTATCTGACTTCATCGTATAACCTCACTTTTGACTAAAACTTTCAAGTATTTATTACTTTCTCTCCCAGAGTAATTGATAATTTCATCAAGTATTATACTCTTGAGGACCGTCGTCATGATCTTCTCGGTCCATCACACTCAGTTACGACAGAAGATACGATTGCCAAGATCGAAGAACATTTCAAGAATAATCCAACGGATTCGATACGAAAAGCAGCGGCAACTTTGAAACTGAACCGAGAGACACTGAGATTAATATTGAAGAATTTCCTCAAGTTACACCCTTACAAAATTACGACCTATTATTTGCTGACAGAAGATTCCAAAAACAAAAGAATTGAGTTTTGTAAAATTATGACAGAAAGTTGAAAATGATGAGATCGACATCAAGCACATAATCTTTACAGACAAAGCTCACTTTTATTTAAATGGATATGTAAATAAACAAAATTACCATTTTTGGGGTCTCGAAAATCCGCAATCATCTGAGGCAAAGTCTTTACACCCTGTTAAAGTGACTGTTTGGGCAGCTATTTCAATCAAAACAATACACTTAAAATTCATAGAAGGAACCATTACAGGCAACAGTTATCAAGAAATGCTACAAACTAAATTTCTTTCTTTGGCTAAAAGAAGAGGATTGGTTAAGAACTATTATTTTATGCAAGATGGTGCTACACCGCATAGAACTAAGAACGTATTTGAAGCTATTTATGAAGTGTATTGTGATCGCGTTATCGGATTAGGATACCAAAAGTTTGCGCCTGGAGGTATGGAATGGCCCCCTTATTCACCCGATTTGAACCCGTGTGACTTCTTCTTATGGGGCTTCCTGAAAGATAATGTTTATGCGGAAAAACCCGAGACCAAACATGATTTGAAAAAAGCCATCAGAGACGAAATTTCTGGTATTTCTCCATCTCAGATTGAACAAGTTTTTCATAGTTTCCGAAAACGGCTTGATTATTGTGTAAATTTGATTGGAGATCACTTCGAAAATATTTACCATTAATAGTTATCTCCTGGCTCAATTTGTCACTTTTTTTCAAATCTCAATAAGTATCTATTAGAAGTCTCTGATTCAACTGAAACTAATTCCAAATAAAAATGACATCTTTACTCAATTCATATGTATTTTTCTTTTTTTTTCCTGGCACTCATTTCAAAGTTATAAACGATGAGTTTAGGTAATTTCCTAATTGTCACCCTGTAAATATGATGCCGAATAAGAGGGTCAAATCTCTCTACTAGACTACTTTTTAAACATTAACAAATACATCTTCAAGGAGAATAAATCAATTTAAGCCTCGAGCAAAATCTATTTTTTGGTATTAAATAAATTCGTAGAGCAGTATATAAAAAATAAAAACTATAGAATGCATACTGATCCAATCCTGAGTTTTGAACATGTTTCCAGCTTCATCCGAAGTATTTAGCATGTCTTCAAATGTGATTGAGGATTTCTTGCTCCACAAGGCATCAGAATTATTATCTCCATCATGCGATTCCAAATCCTCAGAATCTGCGGTGATATTAGAGTTTCGTGGTCCGTCTCGATCGAGGTCCAAGTTTGATCAGCTTCCTCTGGACCCACTTCTGCCCATCCCAGCCTTTAGATCCTTTTCTCTGGCTCCTACATGTCCAATCATAAGGGCTCCTGAAAAATAAAATTGCGCATATAAGTTTCCTGGCACATTGCTGGTACAATTATGGTAAAAATGGATAACGCCATGGAAAATTAAGTTCGAATGAACACGGGATGTTGGGGAGAATTTTTTTTTACAAAACTGACTAATTTCCCTGATGGTTCACACCCAGAATTGGAACATCGTCTTGTCTCCACAAACCCAGTCTGAGTTGGGAAGTTACCCAGAGTGAGGTTCCAAACCGAATGTCGCACAAATTCTGGAGCCAGAGTGGGACCCAGAGTTATAAATTTTATTATTAAAGGAGCTATAAATATTGTTAAACAGTAGGGAGGGCGTTTTGAAACATTATTCAAGTGATTCTAGGTCAATTTTTCCTATAGGGGAGTTGCTAAAGATCATTTCAACAATGTTATAGAAACCCTGGGATCACCTCTGGACCTAGTCTTGATCCCAGAGTTGTGTATTTTATTGTCGAAAAAGCTGTTAATCTGATTAAATCAAAAGAGGGGGGGGAAGGAAGGGGTATCATGACATTATTCAAGTGATTCTAGATCAATTTTTCCTATAGAAGAGTTGCCACAGTTCATTTCAACCATGTTATAGAAACCCTGGGTGCAACTCTGAACACAGTCTTGATCCCAGAGTTGTATATCTTATTGTTAAACGTTTTGTGAATGTTGTTAAATAAAGAGGGGCAGAAGGGAGGGAGTATCAGGATATATTCAAGTGATTCTAGGTCAATTTTTCATCTAGGAGATGCCAACAGTCATTTTAACAATGTTGTAGCAACCCTGGGTTCAACTCTGGACCCAGTCTTGATCCCAGAGTTGTGTATTTTATTGCCGAAAAAGTTGTTAATGTGGTTAAATCAAAAGAAGGGGGGAAGGATGGGGTCCCAGTATATTATTCAAGTGATTCTAGGTCTATTTTTCATATATGTTAGAGCAACCCTGGATTCAACTCTGGCTCCAGTCTTGATCACAGAGTTGTATATTTTATCGTCGAACAAGTTGTTAATGTGGTTAAATCAAAAGGAGGGGCGAGAGGGGGTATCATGACATTATTTAAGTGATTCTGGATCAATTTTTCGTATAGAAGAGTTGCCAAAGTTCATTTCAACAATGTTATAGAAACCCTGGGTTCAACTCTGGACAGAGTCTTGATCCCATAGTTGTATATCTTATTGTTAAACATTTTGTGAATGTTGTTAAATAAGAAGGGGCGGAATGAAGGGGGTATGAGGACATTATTCAAGTGGTTCTCGGTCAATTTTTCATCTAGGGGAGATACCATGATACCTAGCTGTTGGATTGTAACTAACATCGCAACCTAGCAGCTAGCCAAATGCAAGTCGCAATTTCTACCTGGGTTTCTCACCGAAGTAAAATGCAAATGAGAAATTCATTGGGCCCTCTAGCCATACACCGTGCTGGAGTTGTAGACTCATGAAGAAGTCGAGAAATGTTTAGAAAGACGACGAGGTCTCATTCAGGGTTAGCTTGCAGTCGTAAGTCGTAGAGTTTGAATATAGATGTTAAGGTATATCCCAAGACAATACCACGCAAAAGTTGGTTCCTGTGGATTTCCGGAAAGAATTCTAAATGACTTAGGGGAGAGTGGGGTCGAATGTGGTTAAATCAAAACGACTGTTTGATTTTGCCAAAAATTAATTTCATGTCTAAAAAATGAGGTTCTGCCAAAGTTTGAATATTTTCAATTATTGATTTATAAACAACGAATGGTTAAAAAAATTATAATTTAGTGCAAAATATCATTTAAATGATATTCTAATATTCGTCCAATATTCGCGATTTACTTCAAAATTTTCTCGCGTACTTTAATTGACAAATTTGATGATTGAAAATGGTTGAATTTATAGTGTGTGGTCTGTGCCAGTTTGTAAAAGATACTTGAATATCCTTAAGACTTTCAAAAAGTTTAAACTGAAACCTAAACTCCTTGAATTGAGACTTTCACACTCAAAATTAAGACTTTTCCAAATCATATTTTAGTAGCGAAGTGGTAAAACGGTTTAAGTCGACTTATCTCCCAGTTGAGTTTTTAGGGAATATTTCCGAATTCAAGGGGGATAGCGAAATTTTCATAATTACATTTATTGTAGCTTTCAATCGGCTCTACAAAAAACATTTGTTTGAAACGCAGCAAATAAGTCATTATCTAACGTTACAGGGCTCAACGGAAAATCTCGACCGACTTCGGGACCCTTCGGGTTCACGGGCAAATCACGAAGCAAATCGCCAAATATGAAAATTAAGTAGTATCAATCTACTCGTCCAAAAGTATACATCGGTTAGTCAGAGATTTACCTCTGAAGTACATTATCAAACTAACCGAGTATCGAGTACAACACCGAGTATTACATTGAGTCTAGCGCTCTATGTAGCGTCTCTATTTGATTCAATTATCAAATAATTCCGAGTTGACTATCAATTATTTTGAGTCAATCATCAAGTTTAATATCGAGAGAATCCTTAGTGCAGTGAAAAGACTAATATCGAATTGACATTGATACATTCACCAATTCGTGTATCCCTAGAATCAAGACGCGTGCCTTGCGTTGTCCTACCGTTCTATAAAAGTGTTACGTCATAACGACGTATCAAAATTATTATTAATTCCAGCTTTTGGAAACAATAATAATTTCTGAATTCAAAAAAATATATATTGTTGGAAAGATGGCGCCAGCTCCCGGTCCCACTGGGCTTAGGCCCTTGCGTATGACATATATATTCGTTATGGGGAGACTAGATCTTGCGCATGCGTGGATCTTCTCTCCATCAGGTTGTAACTTGTGAGAGTTTACTCTACTGCGAGACGCGAGACGCGAGACGTGTTGTAGCCGATAAACCAGTGTACTAACAATAAAACCCGTATACTATTTATTGTGTCCACACCCGCTATTCACCAGGTTATGTGCCCAGAGCACGCTCCCTAGCGCAAATAAAAACTCAAGTGAGAAACGAAAAATAAAAGTGATAGTGAAAAATAAGGACAAACCCTCAGGAACATAGTTTCAAGTGTCTGGTAGTCTGAGGTGGCAAGGGAAGGCTGGAAAGATGGAAAAGCCAGAAGGAGAGAGGCGTAAGTACGGTTGAATGTGCTATACCGGTGGTAAGCGTCTCCCAGAAAACGAACAGGGGTTGCGTCATCGCGGGGAGATTGGCGGGAATAACGTGGACGCTAGCAGACAAGATGGTGGACAACAAACGTTGACCAAACCATCAAACGAAAATCCGGGAGAAAAATAAAATATTTAATTAGGGACTTGAAAATCCCAAAGAAAATTAAAATAAAAATAGATTGAAATAGGTGGGAATAATATATATTGAGGGATGAGTTGGGAGAGTTGTAACATGGTGAGGGACGCGTCCAATACATAGAGAATCGGTGAGAGAAGCGTCCAAGTATGCAGCATCGGTGAGGGACGCGAACAGTATAGAGAGTCGGTTAACGTAGTGGGTGCGCGTGCAGCATTGGTGGGGATAGTGCCCAGGAGTGGCTGTAGTTAAGGGGTGACGGAACCGACCACAAAAAGACGTTTACCAAAAACAAGTTTTCTTGGATTCTATACAATGAGAATCAATGAAACTTTTTTCCCGTATTGAGAGTAGCGGAACGCATCGCTCTCTTCTCATGCTTTTCTTATTTATGCGAAAAAAAATTGCAAATTATTTAGCGGCAAGGACCAGGGCAAGGCCGACGCCATTTTATTTGTAGGAATCTACCAAGTCATGGTAGAAAAACCGATTTTTTATAGATTTTTCTTAGTCGATGGCTATTCCATGAGAAGAGAGCGATCGAGTGAGGTCCAAGACAGAGATTTTGAGTACAAAAACGTACTTTTGTTGCGTAATTTTCGTAAAAACTTGTTTATGATGATTGGGTGGTATCCAGGAGGTAACATGTCCTTTACAGGGCACCAATTGTAAGAGGGAAGTACTTTTACGAGTCAGAAGATGATGTAGAATGTTTCCATACCATTATTATTTATTTATATCCATTTATTTATATTTTATGGGCTTTTGTACATTTCACGTACAAAATCCAAAAAACCACGGGAACCTGCAATACCGATAGGGGGGACCCCTAACCTCTACGTGCGACGGGTTCCGTTACCCCTTAAGCAGCACACGCAAAGCTCAAGCCAATGATGAGATGGCGAGATGTAGAAAAGAAAAGGGGTCACGCGGCTCTCCGTCAGCGCGCGCGTATCGCAACTGCGGCCGGCGGCAAATCTAAATTCAAATTTGACATGATGCGAAATACAAAATCATAAATAAATTAGCATAGGTGACGACTTGTGAGAGCTGCGGAGGCAATTCATGTTCCTCTTTGGATTTGATGAACTCCATAAAGGAGATGACGTCATCCTCGAGTTAGTAGAGGAGACCGTGTTAATACGAACAGACACAATTAAGTGTTATAAGTTTGATGAGTTAAGATGAATTAAAAAGGAGAATTACGATGAGAAATGCATGCGATCCAAGTGCTTGTGAGGATATTAGCTAGCAAATATAATCACAAATTAACTAAGCACTGAAAATGATCAAATTAAACAAAAATACCAGATAAAAATTCAGAATAAAATCTGAAGTTTGGTTGCTCCAAAGGGGTGATCAATGGAAGCGTGCTTGTGTTCAGTGCGTAGAAATTGATCAGCTCTGTCGGACATAGAGGGGATATTGTGTTCGTATCTCGTCTGTGTCTGACTGTCCTGAAGCTGACTATACTTGTGTTCGGTTGGTCGGTAAAGGGGCATAATATACAAATGATNTAAAAATTCAGAATAAAATCTGAAGTTTGGTTGCTCCAAAGGGGTGATCAATGGAAGCGTGCTTGTGTTCAGTGCGTAGAAATTGATCAGCTCTGTCGGACATAGAGGGGATATTGTGTTCGTATCTCGTCTGTGTCTGACTGTCCTGAAGCTGACTATACTTGTGTTCGGTTGGTCGGTAAAGGGGCATAATATACAAATGATAATAACCGA